CACAAGGCAAGTCTGCTCATTCACTACCCGCGCTGCAAAGCAGGGTGTTTGCAATGCGAACAGCTCACCACTCCACAGCTCTGCCATTCTTCACATGCAACATGTAAATCTGCATTACTCATTTAGCACAACAGAAGTAGAGACACTGCAATAGAAAACTGTCATCATCGTTCCCAGCACTACCACACAGTGTCTTGGCACTGCCTGACACCTTTTTTCTATTAATGAAAAATAAAGTCAAAGCAGCATTTGAAGCACTATAAAGAGACAGAAATTAGTGAAACAAAATATTGCAGTTTTATTATCTCTTAAGACCCATCAGTTTTGGAAACAAGCATTTCAGCCACCCACATGGAACTGATACAGTCTTATTTTTGTCTTTAGCCAGAAAACATTTGAGTCATATGAACAAAGATGTGAAACAGCACAGAGAACTTCAAAGAAAAAGTAACCTTCCTGCTTAGGATTTCTTTCCCTAAGAGCACTAACAAAGTGATGCTCCTTCTCCAAAGTTTAACCTGCCTTCTGAGTGCTAAAACGAAGAAAACAAACCTTCTGTCCTTTTATGCAACTAGAACACTTAACTTTGTGATTAAAAAAAAATATAAAAAATAATCGCCTTGGTAATTTAGCAAGACACACTCCAACAGTTGGCTGCCAGAGCTGGGCGAGGGACAGCACTTCAAATTGAACCTGTATCAAAACACTGAAGTTTTCAATTCCCACCATTTGAAAGATATTTCAAAACAGAGTCATGTTATCCGTACAGGTCATTCCAAATCATGCAAAAAAAGAAAAATTTGTTTATTTGCATATAAAAGTCTTGGTGCCATGCACATAGATTTTTTCTTAAAGACTGCTCTGCAAGAGAACAGTCATTCTAGTTTGGATCCAGAAGAGCACATAGCTGCATGTGTAACTTAAACATACCAAAATTAGGGTTTTGTAAAATGTGGATCAGTATTACATGCTCTTGATACTACACAATTACAAGAGCTAGCATACACCAAATGTAGCAGAACAGCGTCTCCTGTAAGTACCATCACATTTAGTAAGACATCAGATATTAAAATAAATCAGTACCAACTAATAGCAGAAGTTCAGCAGGAGACAGCTGAAGTAGCACCAAGTATGCAGAAATTATCAATTCACTCACAAAAAAAATTACTGAAAAATTCTGTCCAAAGTATCTGGAGTACTGTGATTAATCCACAGCTCCACTGATCATCAGATAAACAACCGATGTGATTTTGTCTCCAGTGCTGCAACAGGAACAGTTGGAAAGACACCATTTTCAGAGTCATGACGGTTTTACTTTCATTAATTACCTAAAGCCCAGATTGTCAGGAAGGAAACAGGAGTCCAATTCTTTGTTTTACAGAACAAAACAGGTGATTTTAAGCTGTCCTCACCTTTTTTTCTTTTTTGTGGAGTATTTTAAGTTTAAGAATTTCCACCTACTCCATTTTCATGCTAGCTTTGTTACTGCTATTTTTAACTTAAGAAAAAAGAAATATGGAAAAGTTCACCGACCCACTGCTGGAGTCTTCCTCCCCACAGCTCTGCTGCAGACCAATCTGTGTAAACATTTCTTAAATGACTTCAGGTAGAAGCCAACTGGCTTAGTTCAAACAGCGAGTGTAAGGGTACAGCAAGAACATATGGTGTTTGATTAAGTCCCACTCCTCCTTAGGCAGAGATACTTTTTCTTGTCGTACACTAACAGAAACCACAGCTCTCTCAGCTGTGATGATTCACACATTTATGGCCATACTCACACGCAGTTCAGCAGCAGCCCTCTCCATGTTTAACAGTCTGCTTCACAAGCCAAGCCGAAGGTGAGGACACAAACAGGGCTAAGAGCCATTGCGGGGAGGAGGGAGAAGACACAGGACCTTACAAGTTAGCGCTGGCACCAGACAGGCATCTCCTTACCTCTACCTAGCCTAGCAGATTTTTGCCTGACACTAGGATAGCTCAGGCCAGAGAAGTAGATTTGTCTGCAGCCTAAGAGACAGAGGGACAGATAATCCATGTGATTTAGAAGCCACTGCAGGATATTTTGTCAGAAAGATCAGAAACGCATTGTGCAGTTTCTGCCATTTCTGCTATGCCAAATTTGAAGAGTTATGTGCAGGGAAGCACTTGGCGCACCCTCGCTTTATAGTAATGCATAATGTTGTCAGATATCACACAAACAAACATGTTTTTCAGAAAGGTTCTTATCTACAACCCTGGGAAAAGTAGAGTCCATAAACAAAAATAAATCTTTTTGTGTATGTATATTTTGCTACCCCTTTATTCGTGAGGATCTCTACATTTGCTTGAAATTCTACATCCCTGGATTGACAAAGCAGATTACAGTTTGGTAAATTTCTCAACATTTTTTCCAGGCCACAAATACAGCCTTGTTCTATCTTGACCAGCTTGAGAATCACTGCAGTCAGCATGAACTGCAAAGTATCTTCGCAGGCCTTCACCTGTCCTTGGGCAGACATTGAGAACTCAGCTCTCCAGAGTTGTTTTTTTGTTTTTCCTTTTTTCTTTTTTTTTTTTTTTTAATAGGTTGCTAGTTTCCACAGAAATTACTTACAAGCTGGGAACATGAAAATGCAGAGAACTGAGGCTGCTAATCATTTCCTTTACCAGACACCTCCCAGCTTCTCCTTGCCCCCCCAGCCGCATCTTCTGTTGGCTGCAGCTGAGCTGCTGCTCCGTCACAAGCAGCCCTGAGTTCCCAGTGCACGTGTGATGAAGCCCAGTCCCCCAGCTCCAGCAGCAAAGCTTACATGAGCACGTCCCTTCACCGGGCACTTCCCTGCTGCCCACTGCTGCGCGCTGCTCCCCGCAGTGCCATCAGAACCACCCACGGCTGGGCTGCGAGCCGGTCAGTATATCCATACAGGAGTCTTTTGTCTTGCCAAGGAAAGGTTACGTTTCCTAAACCTGAATCAACTCCACAACTGTGTTCATACTGTGGTCCAGCACGCTGGTGTTCCTCACAGCTCACTTTTGCTGAAGGAGATGCCCAGGGCAGAACATCCCGCATCACTGCCAAAGGGCAGGTCCCCGTTCCCTCTGCATATGGCTACATGCAGATAGTGCAGTGTGGGCATTAAAGGCAAGAGCAGCGAGCTGGATCAGGAAATTGAAAAAAAAAATCTATGTTGTGGGGACGTTTCTGGGAAAAGTGGATCAATTTTTTGTGCTAGCTCACTGCATAGTTGCACAGTCTTGTCTGCTGGCGCAAGGAAAGCTGGAGGCATCGTGACAGGCCAGCACTGTCCCTTTCTGCTGCAGCCAGACTGACAGGGCTGTGCACTGAGCAGCTTGGTGATCATGCTGAGCATCAGGTACGAACATTTGATTCCAGATTCTGCAAAGCCATGAAAGAGGGAAAAAAAAAAAAGCCAGAAATGCAAATAAACAATCCGGTAGCATCCAGTTTTCCCCATTTTTTAAAATTTATTTTTAAACAGGAAGGGTGAAATCTTTACTGATAGAGCAATAATTTTATATGCCACCATCTGAAACAGTATTTTTGTAAAAATTCGCACTGAAACAGCAGAATGTCACTCCACTTCTTCTTCAGAAATACTTCTTCTATTAGCTGCCACACTTCGGTAACAAAAAAAGCATGGGAACATTTACTGCTTTTTAAACCAAATGAAATTACAGTTTACAAATTACCCAAAGTCAATTGTATCATGATTGACTGAGTTGCTGTGACATCAACACAATGGCTCGCAGTAACTTTTGAAATCAAATTGCAGGTTTTAATGATGGGGGGGAAAAACCCACACATCTAAATGATTTCCCTTGTGAATGCTAAACAGCTGCTCATTTGTTCAGTTAGCCTGCCATGAGCATTACTCTCTCCTCCAGTTATTTTCTTCCAAACCTTTGTAATTTCAGCATCTGTAAGAGATTACAGATAAACAGGTTCCAGAAAAAAAAAAAATACAAAGACAACACTGTTTTTGTGAGCGATATTATGTTTATAATCCCACATTTCTAAGGAGCAAGCCTTCTGTGTCAACAGTTCCCACTTTTTAACCACAGACACAGTTCCTGTGTGGTTACATCAAATGAGAAAACCTAGGCAATCTTGCAAACAGTGAAACAATCACTAAAATTAAAGATTGTCACAACAGTGCTTCTGCAAGGACTGAACATCTGCAAAATAAAAAAAAACCTCCAAGTTGGATTAAGCTCGGGATAGATTAAATGAAGCAGAAAAACATATTCACGACTTGGAAGACTGAAGGAGCACATAAGCAGCAAAATAACCAGCAAATACCCGTTAACTAAGCAGCATGTCTAAAAAGCTGGAAAACAAGTACAATCCTTTTAAGAGATCAGATTTAAGGCTCAGGAAAAAAAAAAAAAAAAAAAAGAAAAAAAAAAAAGGAAGATTCAGAAGGAAAAGATGCCATTAGACTCTTTATAAGATTTGCAAACATAATGGAATCAGTGCCTTCCAGATGACGCTAAGAATGAAAAGAAAAAGATATCTTACTTTCAAGTCACATCCTGAAGAAGATGAATAAAGAGAAACAGTACTTGTTTGTTGTTGATCCCAAAATTGATATAAGAGTTTAAGCAAGTATTTGACAAGGCCTTCTATTAGCTAATGGAATAAGAAATCAGAAGAATCAGTACGCTATGCGGCTCTTTGTGTTGGCAAGATGAAACAGGGTGCCTTTCCACAACACATTCTGTCCCTACCGGGCTTGGGACAGTAATAAATGGGTGGGAATTGATGACTTGTGATACACAGCAGTCAAGTTAGATAATGTACTGGCTGCTCTGAGTGCCAGAACAAATAAGAAAAGCTATGACTGTATGACTAATACCAGTTAGAATGAGATTGCTGTTCTTCACCGGTAGTCATTTAATGTATTTGCAAATCTGACAAGACCTCAAGATATTATTTTTTAATTCTCCATACTTCTGTTGTGCCAAAACAAACTGGCTCAAGATGACTTTCTCATTCTTACCATTATTTCGTGCTGCCCCCCATCTTGCCCCAGCCACAGACTCTCAGCCACGGGGAGGACTCGCGGTGTGCTGGCTCTGCGGGGCTGCGGGGCGCGTGGAACGGCCTGTTCCGAATAGCGCCGATGGTTGCAGCTGTCCACCTGGAGCCACCCAGAAGCTGAAAGGCCAAGAGATGGCATCGCGCCACCTTTCATAGCCTGCCAGTGGACTGTGCCTTCTGTACTCACAATAATGCTCAGAAACGGCTCGGTTTGCCAGGGGAGGCCAGTAAGCTTCTTTGTTTTCTAAAAGCTGTTATGTGCAGAAGCTAGGCCAACGTAGCAACATCCAAATTATGGGCTAAAACCAGTTTAGACCGATTGGGAGATGATTTAATGAATCCAGCACACCTCTGGTGGAGGCAGCCTTGCGACTAACGCAAGTCATTGCTCTCTCAGGTTCTGTGCTTTCTCCCCTTTATTCTAGGTCCATCTCTTCCGACCTCATTTTGTATTTCCCATTCTCTTGCTCACCCCTCTCCTTTGGCCCTTCCTCTCAGCGCTTGCCTTATTTCCCCCTCGTTATTCTTCGTTTTACTACATTTTGCCTATCGTTCCTTGGGACTCCCCATTCCTAGAAGGAGGTGACCGTTGTGGCTTGGTCACATTGTATACCCATTTAATGTAACCAGCATAATGACACCTTTCCGGGCAGCAGGACCTGTGTTCACCCAGGCCTCGTGTTCCCGCCTGGCACACGGCCGCCCTGTGGCAGTGCCTGCGGCAGGAGCCCGCACAGACACCGAGCGGCGCTGCAGGGGGTCGGGCACCCCGCACCCCGCCTGGCGCCCCGGGACCGCAGCTCTCCCCTCAGAGGAGCCCCGGGGACATTCCCGGCCCGGCCTCACCCCGCAGCGGGCAGGGGCCGGATAACGAAGGGGCAGCCGCGAACCCGCCCCGGGCCCCTGGCACGGTTCCGGATGCTTCGTGCGAGACCCCCACGCGGCGCTCCGCCCGCCCGGCCCCGGCCGTTACAGCAGCACCGGCGGCTCAGGGGGCTCCGGCCCCGGCAACCCCCGGGGGCCGCCCCCGGTGCTCGGTGCCCGGTGCTCGCTGCCCGGCCGGCCCCCGCCGCCCCGCTCCCGGCCCTCAGCGGCGCTCCCGGCCCTCAGCGGCGCCCCCCGCCCCCCCGCAGCCTCTCCCGCCGGCCGCCCCCTCCCCGCGGGCACGGCGGAGGCCATCTTGCGGCGGGGGCCGCGGGCACTTACCGGCACGAGCCCGCGGGGCTGCGCGCCCGCCCCGCCCGGAGCGGCCCCGGCCTCCGCGAGCCCCCGCCGGCAGCGCCCGAACCCGGCCCGAACCCGGCCCGCCCCTCGCTCCCGCGCCCGCCTCACGGCATCGGTAACCACGGCAACCGCCGCTCCCGCCGCCACTGGCGGGCTCACGGCGCGGCGGCAGCCAATGGGGCTCCGCCGTGCGCCGCGCGGAGCCAATGGGCGCGGCGTGACGCGGCCCGGGGGGCGGGGCGAGCCCAGGCGGAGCGGGCGGCGGCGGCGACGCCGGCGCCACCAGCAGCAGCACGGCCCCGCCGCTCCAACGCCGCCATGGGCACCCCGGGGTAGGGCCCGGCAGCGCCGCGCGGGGCCGCCCGCGCCCGACGGCCCCTCCTGCCTCAGCGCGGTGAGCGGGGAACCGGCGGGAGGCCGCGGGGGTGGGGGGAGGGCAGAGCGGGGCAGGTGAGCGCGCACCGGGCCGGGGGGCGCCCGGAGGCGGGGGGGGGGGGGGGGAGGCGGAACCCGGGACCGCGGCGGCCGCCGCGGTCCCGGGTTCCGCCTCCCCCCCCCCCCCCCCACCCGGCCCGGTTTGGATGCGCAGCCCTCGTCCGCCCCGCAGGGCCGCATCCGCCGGGGCTGGGCTGCTCGCGGACCTTTGCACCCCGCGGCTCGGTGTCCTGGCGCTCGGTGTGAGGCACCGCCCCGGGAGGCGGCCGTCGGCAGGGCGAGGTGTGTCCGGGCCCCGAGGTGACGCCTGAGGCACCACCGGGGGTGGCGGCGCCGTCCCCGTGAGGCGGCGGAGCGGGGGCAGCGCGGCCGCTTCCCGGCTGTGCCCGCGGCCTGCGGGGCGCCGCTGCCGGTGCTGGAGCTGAGGCGGAGCAGCCGCTGGCCCCGGCTGTGGAAGCGCTGCCTTCTCTCGGCTCCCGCCTCGTCAGGCGCTCGGGAGAGGTGCCAGCAGCAGCAGCAGCAGCGGATCCGCAATAAAACGCGGCCGGAGCGAGGTCTGTCAGGCAGCGATCCCCCGCGAGTGGGTGAAATCCGCCGGGATTCGACCTTGATGCTCCCCGGGATCCTCGGGGGTCCGCTCCAACTCGCGATGCTCCCATCCGCGTTCCTCTTAGGGGCTGGTTGTGTTACGGACGACACAACGCGCTTCTTGGGGGTTCCTTCTTCTTTAACGACACTAATGCAGGGTCCTTTTACCACGAGTGGATGAATTCAGTCACACGATGTAAACAAGGAAAGCGTAGTGATAAATTACTCCGTTCCGAGCAGCTTCATTTGTTAGCAAAATATCACGTAGAATAATATCATGTAGAATACCCTTTAAGTTATCTCTGATAATGAGCGCTAGCATGCGCTTTGCAAAAATAATAGTAACCGTAATTAGTAAGCTGTGTCAGGTATTTGGTAGAGGAGATGTGCGTGTATTGTGGAGGAAACCTCAGTGGCAGGAACACTCTGCATACTAACAGAACAGGAAACATAAATAAGAACTTGATGTAATTCTGCTTCGCTTCGTGTAGATTATTAACATACACGTATAGCAGGTGGAAGGCTAAAGCCATTCCATAGGATGGTACTCTGGGAGTACCGTCCAAATTTTGGGTTGGGTTTGGTTTTTGAAACTGTGCTGAAATGAGCAATGTCTGCAAGCGTTTCTCTGGTTATTTTTTTTCTTTCATTATTGGCTGCAAGAAAGCACTGACTGGCTCAAAGATCTCAATGAGCAGAACAGAGTTGTTGTAAGCATAAATGACAAAGATTGGGTTTATTACCAGAATGTGGCTGTTGTATTGTGGTGTAGAAGAGTCCCCTAAAAATCAAGCACTGCCATTGATTCTTGTTTGGAAAAAATTACTTGTGAACCTGCAGTTAGCCGTATTTTGCGTTTCTCTCGTCTCTCGCTTGCTTTCTTAGTGCTTGTAATCCAGCCAGTGGCTACGTTATGATTTCTCTGTATGCGAAGCTGCGCTGCTGTAGCTACTTGCGGAGCAGCTGCCCGGAGCAGTCCCTGCGAGCACTGCGCCAGGGTGGCTGTTGTGAGGCGGGACCCTGCTTTGCCTGGCCGTGTGTTCGCTCCCATTCCTCGAGGGCTGCCCGTCGTGTCCACGTGCTGTGGACGTGCAGAAACGTGGGAACAGTAGCTTCGTTTGCTGGCACTGGATGGGAAGCAGCTTGTAAGAGTTACTGCAGAGAAGTTGTTCTGGTGCCTTGTATAAAAAGCGCACACATCTCCGCAAGTAACTCCTGCTGGTGTGGCTCAAACTTCTGGAAGTTTCACGAATTTTTGGTCTTGTTTCTGGGTTGGTATTTTTCCTCTGGTGAAAATGAGGCATCAACTCATTATGACTTTGATATGCGCTGACCCTCCAGAAGCTCTCTGACCCAATTTAAGGTTTACTACCTGGAGGGGGATTGAGCTAGCACAGCTTCACTTATATGGGAATAGGAAGCCGGACTTGGAACCGGAGGTTTTGCAGGCATGGCTTGCAGGTATTGCTTGCTGCTGTTCCTGACCTGATCCCAAGTACTGCTGACAGCAAGCAGTCCAGGTACCGGCAGAGGTGGAGCAGCTCTGTGACCGCAGCTGAGCACAGCGCAGCCACCAGCGGCTCTCTGGGCTCAGGTAGCTCTCCTGGCTCCCGGCTGCCTGTCCTGAGGCCTGATGGACAGTGTAGCTCGCTGGGTAACTGGTGGTGTCCCCTTTATCCCAGCAGAATACCCGCTTACTCTTGTTCACGCAGAGTTTGCAGAGGGAGGGAGGAGGTGGCTGAGGACAGCCAAGAACTGCCTCTGGTGACCTTCCCAGAGCTTTTGCCTGCACAGAAGAAAATAGCAGCTTCTTGTCAGTTAAAATCTCTGTAGCTGGCTTCAGTTTCCAGACCTTTGCTCCTTCCTGCTCACTGCCCCTTTCTGTCCTTGGCCTTAGCACCTCGCTCGCCTTCCCTCCAAGGAAGGCAAGAGGCGCGTTGCAGGAAGAAGGAAGGACCGCTTTGGTTTCACCGTCGATTGATGTTTTTTCTGTAATAATGAAGGCCCCAGAACAATCATTACAAGGGGAGGCTGGAGGTGAAAGTTCTTTCCGTGGCATCTCACAGCATTTCGGTAGCTTTCCAAGCCGCCGAAGCGCAGGAGGACGCTCCTCGGGCATGTGCCATGGGTTCAGGCAGGTGACGTGCGGCTCGGGCTTGTCATCCCCGCGGGATCGGCCGCCTGAGTCAGCCCTGGCTTCCTGGAGAGCCCCGTCTGTGCCTCCTCCTGGGAGGCAGGACTGTAGCGAACCAGTTCAGCCAGTTCGCCGCCTGCCTTTGCCTTGCCCTCCTTCGGGGAGCGGTAAATAGAGGCGCTTTGGGTAAAGCGGGCTGCGGGGAGCCCGTGGCTGTCCTTAGCTTTGCAGTCCTTGTCATTGCACCCCCTTCTTACAGGCAAATGAAGACAATGCTGCTTTGGGAGAAGTTAGAATGTGAGGGAAAACTCTGTTTTTACTGCTTCAGTACTTTTGAACAGGGTGGCTTTTTAGCAGTTTGTTAGTTTTAAATTGGGCGCACTTCTGATATACGTGTGTTTTCTCCCTGTTATTGCTTTCTTTCCTCCAAACAGAAGAGCAAAATACTCTTTCCTATCAACTCAAATTTCAAAATATTATAGTATAGAAGGGAAAGGAATTGCTGTTTTTCATCAGAATGTCTCCACAGTCATCTCTCATGGATCTTCCTCCCTCCTCCCCATTTTTTTAAGCTTGTATAGCACTAGAAAGTGAGGAGCAGCCAACTTTCTGTATATTGGCTTTTTAAATTGGTGTAACGCTATTCTAGTGCAAAGAATAAAACTACAAGTTATTACTTTTTGAGAATGATTGATCTGTTCTTTATGGAATAATTAAAACTAAATCTTTTCTCCTTCCCCCAGTTAGTGGGGCCCCGTGCTTGTAAAAGACATGCTCTCTAAGTGTCGTAACTGGGAGGTAGTGTGGTTGGTTTTTTTGCGTGAACCCTACATCGAAATTACAGCTAATCTAACGTTCTGATCAGGGTTGTGATTAATTCATTATTAAAGGAAGAAAGAAATCTGTTGTAAATCCTTTGAAGATGTACAAGCTGAAACTTGTTCTCTGCATCACAGCTCAATGGGGGGATTTTTAATGTATTTACTGTTTATGCAACCATGGGGTAGTAATTATGGGCAGTGAACAAAATTTGCCCTGTAGCTATTGGATCTGCAAAGCAAAAGCTTCATAGATACTGTGTAGGTTGTATAATTGGCCAGCCTTTACTGCTTGTTGGATTTGTAAATAGGAGTTCAGAGCACCAGGTCCCCTCTCCCTTAAGAGGGAGATGCATCACAGCTCGGAGTGGGAAAGCTCTGGTGGGATTCACGTGTCCCGAGAGCACTCGTGTCAGCTGGCAGCAGGACAAATTGCCTTGGGTGGCTCAGCAGAGCATCCGTCGGGTCCAGAAGTGTCCAGAGCTTAGCTGGAGCCATCTCCAGAGGCAGTAGGAGCAAGGGGGAGAGTGTCCCGGAGGGCAATGAAGGGGTTGAAGGCAGGAAGGTAGGAACAACTCCTTCAGTGCCAGGTAGGGCAGGTAAGAAGTAGCAGAGATCTGGGGAAACAAGCAAGGAAAGGGAGGAGCTGCACTGTGTGGTGCCAGACATTGCTGTCCTCTCAGGTGATGATCAGACGTAAAGACACGGGCAGGGAGCTGCTGGAAAAATTCTGCATTTCTGTTTGCTTCTGAGCACAAAAAAGTTTTTCTCTCTGTACAATCTAAACCAAACTTCATTATGGCATGCGAGTGTCCTGGAAAGCCATAGGCTGCCACCTATGCTATACTTCTTAAAGTATATGTAAAGTTTTTTACTTCTATACTTTTTAAAGTATATGTATAAATGTACTCAAAAGCATTTGCATTACATGCATTCAAATAGAAATTATCTAATCCACATTTGAACTTGTTTATGTGATTTGCTTGTGCCATCTCTGCTAGAAATGTAATGGGAGCAGGAGACTTTCCAGTTTGTTGATGATTTGTCCTCTTCCTGCCAAAAAAAATAGGTTGCAGCAGAGTGCTTCCTTAGCATTCCTAAAGGAAATCTTCTCAATTCCGAAAACATGGTCAACGTCATCTTGTG